GGGGTCAGGGCATGCCAGGGCATGTCTAGGCATGTCTAAAGCAGCAGCCAAGCATTTTACAGAAGATAAAAGTGCAATTAGTGGGGTCTGGAGGGATTGGGGGGTAGCGGGTGAATGAAGAGGGTCTCAGGGTCCTACACTTAGTCTGGTTTTTTGTTTTGTTTTCTTGTTTCCTTATTTAGTTTAGTTTTTTGAGAAAAGGTCTGGTGAATATAGCTCAGGCTGGCCTGGGACTTACTATGTAGCCAAGACTGGTTTTGAACCGGCTATCTTCCTGTATCCTCTGAGATTACAGGTGTACACCCCCACACCTGGCCTAAAATTTAAAAATATTTATGCATTTTAAACATTTCTAAAAGCAGGGCATGGTGGCACGTGCCTTTGATCTTAGCACTTGGGAGGCAGAGGCAGGCAGATCTCTATGAGTTCAAGGCCAGTCTGGTCTACATAGAGAGTTCCAGGCCAGCTGGGGCTACACGGAGACCCTGTTTCAAAAAGATCAAAAAGTAATAAAAAGATAAAAATCTTAAGAAAAACATATATTTCTGTAGGTAACAAACCATTGTGACATCTAAAACTGTTTTACTCCCTCAGTACCAAAAATTTGTGCTGGAGAGATATCTCAGTGGGTTAAGACAGTTGCCACCAAGCCTCGTAAGCTGAGTTCAATCCCTGAAACTCACATGGTGGAAGAAAGCAGGCACTCTAAACTGAGGCATGATATTCCCTCCTCCCACAAAATAAATAAATACAATAATTTCTTTATAAAGAACCAAATTTTGCGGGGCATGGTGGTGCAAAGCTGTCATCCTAACACTTGGGAGATGGAGGAAGGAAGATCAGGAGTATCAAGGTCAAGGACAGCCTGAGGTATGTAAGACCCTGTTAGTGGTAGAGTGATTGCCTTGCATGCATGAGGCCCTAGGTTCAATCCTGGAACGTGCTTATGACTGATCTCAAAAAAACCCCAAAAACAGAAATAATAAGTTTTCCCCCTTGGGGTATCTGTCCCTCCCTCCGACTTTGAGAATGCAAGATTAATTCCATTCATGTTTCCTGAGAATTTTTATGGACAGCACCATGATAAGCTTTGAGGCTAGAGCAGTGAATTTAAATTTAAACGGCTCAGCAGTTAACAGTGCCTGCTGGGTCTTCCAAGGACCCAAGTTCAGATCTCAGCACCCAGGTTAGTTGGCCCACAACTGCCTGCTCCCAGGGATCTGATGCCCTCTAATGGCCTCAGTGGGTACTCACACACAGGTGGCATGTACATACATGTAAATTAAAATCTTATAAAGAAAATTTAAGCCAGATGTGGTGGTGCACACCTTTAATCCCAGCACTTGGGAGGCAGAGGCAGGCAGATCTCTATGAGTTCAAGGCCAGCCTAGTCTACATAGTGAGTTCCAGGACAGCTGGGACTCTAGGGAGACCCTGTCTCAAAAAGACCAAAAAAAAAAAAAAATTTTTTTTAAATGCCTGTACATGTGGAGCTGGCAATGGCCAGAGTTTATCTAGTCTGCAAGTCAGTCACTGAGGTGGCAGGTTTTAATTAATTAATTAATTAATATTGTGTGGGCGTAAAAAAGAGACTGTGTGCATGCACGCACATATGTGTGAGTGCAGCCATGGCACAGGCATGGAGTTGGATTTTTTTTCCATTTTTATTTTATGTATATGAATGTACTGCCTGCATGTATGTAAGTGCACCAGTGTCATGCAATTCCCGTGGAGGTCAGAAGAGGCCGTCGGATATCCTGGAACTGGAGTTATAGACCGATGTTAGCTCCATGAAGTTGTTTTTTCCTTTCCCTTTGGGTTCCCGCAAACTCTTTTCCTTTAAATATTTATTTATTTATTTATTTGGTCTTTTTGAGATAGGGTCTCTCTGTGGCCATAGCTGGCCTGGAACTCACTGTGTAGACCAGGCTGGCTTCAATCGCTGGCCTTAATGGGACAGCTACCTACCTCTGCCTCCTGGGATTAAAGGCGTGTACCACCATGCCCTGCTATTTATTTTTATTTTTATTGTATGTGTATGTGTTTTGCCTGCATATATGTAAGTGCGCCATGTACATACAATGCCCGGAGAGGCCAGAAGACAGCGTTGGATCTCCTGGAACTGAAATTACTAACGGTTATTAGTTGCCATGTGGGTGCTGGGACCGAATTTGAACCTCTGCCCTCTACAAGAGCAGCCAGTGCTCTTAACTGCTGAGCCATCTCTCCAGCCCTACTATAAGCTCTTTTACCAGCTGAGCCATCTCACCTGCCCTGGGGTGGCAGTTCTCAATTACATCTGTTGGATTGGTTCAAAATCTCTTCCTCAGATCATTTCCCCACCCCCTGGCAAAATTTCTCTCTCAATTCTCCTCTCTCCCCCAGGAAAAGAATCAGAAACCTACACACCTGGTTGGGGCCTTCTTTGCTTTCACCCTGGGCAACCTCTACTTCTGGCTGCAGTTCATTCTGTCCTGGTGGATGAAGGGCCTGCCCCAACCAGGGCCCCGCTGGATGGGACCTCTGCGTCTGAGTCTCTGCAGCCTCTCCACCATCCTCATCGTGGCCAGTATCCTTCCTGGGGCTGGAGACAGGTTAGGGATGGCTTTTCATTGGAGCTGTTCCCTGGGCCTTTCTTTGTATGTGCCGCAGTGGGTATCTGTTCATGTCTCTGGGCCTTAGTGTCCACCCAGGGTCATAGTTCCCTAGTGAAAAGTGAACAGTGGAAGCCAGGCATGGTGGCATAGCCTTTCACCCCAGCACTCTGGAGGTGGAAGCAGGAGGCTTTTGAGTTGAAGGTCAGCCTGGGCTGTATGGTGGGACTTTGTCTCAAAAACCACAACCAACAAATGCACTGGGCAGTCCTGACTGAGTTCAGATGGGCTGGACTGGACTCTCCATAGATTACTTAGCAGAACTTCTATTGGTTTCTTAAATCCTCAGTGCCTCAGTGTCTTCACTACTGAAACGTAGATGGCTGAGGCTGAAGCAGAAAGATCACCACAAGTTTGAAGCTAGCCTGGGCTACATAATGAGACTTGTCTTAAAGAAAATGCAGATAGTTAACAGGCTGACCTCAGGGTTGTGGGGATAAATAGGACTGTGTTTGTGAGGTGCTTAGATCTACCAAGGGTATGGCCAATAAGCACTGGGAAAATGCAATGTCAGTAATTATCTCTTAGGGGCACTACAGGCATCTTGCTGGGTGTTCAGAGTAGAATAGACTCAGACAGAGTCTCTTGGTCAAGGTCCTGGCTAGAATGAATGGTAGGCTGCAGATGGAGTATGCATCGGCACGTGACCTTCCCAACTCCAGGTTCTGTAATTTCATGTAAGTGACTTGAAATGGCTTAGGTGGACGTATTTGCTCTAAGATAGTCAGAAACAAAATCACTAACTAGAGCCAAGGCTTTTGTTGTTGCTTATTTTGTGAGACTGGCTCTTACTATGTAGCCCTGGATAGTCTGGTACTCACTATAGAGCAGAAGATGACTTTGAACTTCTTTTATGTGTATATACTATTTATGTGTATGAGTGTATTGCCTGCATTTTATGTATATGAATGTTTTGCCTGAATGTATATACGTGCACCCGTGTCATGCAATGCCCATGGAGGTCAGAAGAGGGCATCAGATCCCCTGGAACTGGAGTTACAGACTATTTTTTTAGCCATCATGTGGGTGCTAGGATTTGAATCTGGGTCCTCTGCAATAGCTGTCAGTGATCTTAAATGTTGAGCCATCTCTCCAGCCCCGACCCTGAACTTCTGAACCTCCTGCCTCCACCTCCTGAGAGCTGGAATGCTAGTCATGGACCACCATACCCTGTGTATTTAATTCTGGGAACCAAATTCAAGGCTTTGTGCATGCTAGAGAAGCACTCTACCAATTGAGCTACATCGCCCAACCACCCCTTTCTTAAACATGTATTTATTTGCTTATGGGAGCAGGTGCCCATGAACCACAATGCATTCTTGCCTTGGGTTTTTTTTGTGGGTTTTTTTTGGTCTTTTTTGTTATTTTGTCTTTTTTTTTTTTGGAGCTGAGAACAGAACCCAGGGCTTTGTGCTTGCTAGGCGCTTGCTAGGCAAGTGCTCTACCACTGAGCTAAATCCCCAATGCCCATAATGCATTCTTTTTTTTTATTTTATTTTATTTTATTTTATTTTATTTTATTTTATTTTATTTTATTTTATTTTATTTTATGTGTATGAGTGTATTTTCTACATGCGTAAATGCACCTGTGTTGTGCAGTGCCTGTGGAGGTCAGAAGAGGGTACTGGATTCTCCTAGAACTGGAGTTACAGATGGTTGTTAGCCACCATGTGGATGCTGGGAATTGAACCAGGGTCCTCCGCAAGAGCATCCAGTGCTCTTAACCGCTGAGCCATCTCTCTAGCCCCCACAATATATTCTTGGAGGTCAGAGTACAACCTGAAGAAGTGGGTTTTCTCCTCCTGCCACATGAGTCTCAAGGATCAAACTCAGGTCATCAAGTTTGGTGGCAAGTACCCTCACCGTCTGAGCCATCTTGCTTGGCTAAGTCCGTTTTTCCAAAACAGAATCTATGTAGTCTAGACTGGCCTTGAAATCACTTTGTAGCTGAAGATGACCATGAATTCCTGATCCTCCTGCCTTTACCTTTCAAGTGCTAGCATTCTATGATAATAAGCATGTTTGCCACATCTAGCTTACTATATTTGTTTTTACGATGCTATTAATTGGACACAAAGCCCAGTGCACATTAATTGGGCTATATTATCAAGAGTTGTTTTTATCATGGTAATGATTCATTTTTAATTTTTTATTATACTTATTTGTGTATATGTGTGCCATGCGGACATGTAGAGATCAGAGGACAACTTTTGGGAGTCAGTTCTCACCTTCCACCATGTGAGTCCCAGAGATGGATAGGTTTGGTGGCAGGTGCCTTTTCCTGCTGAGCCGTCTTGCTGGCCCAGTAGTCAAAAAACAGAAAATATATTTTTAAAAATGTCTACGTCAGCAAGATGGCTCAGCAGGTAGAGTGACTTGCTGCCAAGTCTGAAGATCTGAGTTCGATCCCTCGGAGCCTTGTGGTGGAAGGAGAGAACAGACTCCCCGAAAGCTGTCTGCTGACCTCCACACACAGTATGCATGCATAAGATATGAATGAAAAGATTTGTAAGTTGATATGGGAGAGTCTGAGTTGGGAGCTAGAGTGGCTGGCTGGATGCAGGGAGGGGAGGTGAGAGGTCTTGGGAGACGCTCCAGAAAAAAAAGTATTCAGGGATGGTGGCGTTTCCATGGAGGTGGGGTTCCCTAGGAAGAGAATGGGTTTTGGGAGGAGGTTTGATTCTGTAAGGGAGTTTGTAGGGAGGAGGTTGTAAGTCAAAGACAGGGAGAAAGTTGCAGAAAGCCTGAATTATGTTTAAGAAATCAAGTATCTGGGGCTGGGGATGTGGCTCAGTCAAGACGACTGCTTGGCTAGCATGCATGAGGCCCTGGGTTTGATCTCCTGGAAACAGGTTGTGGTGCCCCTAAACAGGTCGTTAAACAGGTCAACAGGTTGTAGTAAACAGGTTATGGTGCCCATAAACAGGTCATAGTGATGCACGCCTAGAATTCCTGCGCTGGAGGCAGGACAATCCGAATTTCAAGATCTTCCTCAGATATATATCAAGTTCTTGGTCAGCCTGGAGTACACAGTGCCCTGTCTCAAAAACAACAAAAAAACAAAGAAAAAACCCCCAAGAAATTGCACATCTGTAAGTCGTGCAGCAATGGCATCTTGCTTGGACAAGTTGGGGAACAAGCACAAAGTTCTAGGATCAAGAAAGACCCACAGAACAGAAGGGTTTGGGAATATTGGGGCTCCAGGACTAATGGGAGGTACATGGGAAGAGACAGAGAGAGGGGCAGGGCTTTGGAGAGGACTGGGAACAACAGCTACAATCTCTTTGAGGGGATGAGGGTGAGGTGAGGTGGTAGATCTGGGATATCTGTCAATCATGCCAGGGTAGGTGAGCACCTCAGACAACCAGAGGCGGACTTAGCCTGGCCTGCGTCATACAGCATCTAAGGTGGGCTCTCTTGGGGGGTGGGTGTCTTCAACATATGACCAGGTGATCCTTGACCTTGCTGTGAAGTGATCGTCCTCAACTTCCACAATCTGCGCTCTGCCTCTGCAGCCTGTGAGTGGGCTGTGGCCATGTTACTCTTCATGCTGTTTGGCTTCTTTGCTGTGGACTTCTCCAGCCTGCGAGGCTGTGCCCTGCACCTTAAGTCCAGGCTGGACTCCAGCCCCCCACCAGCTTCCCCAGTGACCCCGGAGATCCAGCTGTCAGAGACGCTCTGACTGGGCTTCATTCTAGTGGTAGAGGAACAAAGAAGTGGCCAACCCGGTTCACCCTACAGTGAACTACGGAGGACTGAGATGGACCTTCTAATGGACACATGGCAAGGGGGAACTTGTGCTAACCAGTCAGAGGCTGCAGCTTGGTACCTGCCTGTCCCTGCAATCAAAAGCACCCCAGGAATTGAGAGGCCAAGGCCAGCCAGCTGTCCCTGATCAAGGCTATTTATTATTATTTTTGTTGTTGTTTTTGCTGCCGGTGGAATCAGACACGGACGCAGGCAGGATCACGCGAAACCAGAATTCCTTCCAGGAGAGCAAATCCGTACAGAAGGTTATAGGGAAAGGGGAAAAAGACCTGGGGCAGGGGAGCAGGGGCCCAGGAAAGGGAGTGGGGATTGGGGATGACACAGAGACAGAGGGACCTGTCCGGATCTGCTAAGCCACCCCCAACCAGCTCCCATCCCTCCCCCACCCCATCCGCAGAGATTGATCAATAAATAAAATAATAAATTAATCAATAAATAAATAGAAACAGCTCCCGCCCCCTTTTGCCCTAGAACCTCCCCCCATTGGGCACGGCCCATGGAGCCCCATCCCTGCAGGGCAAGGCCGGGTTTTGTGTTCCCCCCTCCCGACATACTCCTTGGGCCTTATATACAGATTCACAGTAGGGCGCAGGGAAGGGGGGTGGAGGGGGCTCCCCTCCTTCCCTGGCCCCCTGGGGTCAGGGTAAAGGGGTCCCGTTGGTAGCCAGGAGCCTCTTGTCTTTAGGGGGGCCTCGGCGGGGAGAGCTGCTCAGCTCGGGGTCTGGACGGCCCGGTGGGGGCTGCAGGCTCCGGGGTGGGGTACCAGCAGGCCGAGTCTGGGCTCCATTCTTCTCATCTGCAAAGAAGGAAGAGGTTTTATGCAGCTGGAGGCCCCTGAACCCAGGTTGAGGCTGCTGTTCATTGGACTCAGTATCCCCAAGGAAACCAAATTTGGGCTGGTGACATGGATGGCTCAGTGGGGCAAGGCTCTTGTTGCCTGCCAAGCCAGAATTTGATCCCTGGGACCCACATAGTAGAAGGGGAGAACTGACTCCTGCAAGTTGTCCTCTGAGGCCACATTCATGGCTGGCATCCCCCACCCCATACACAAATAAATCCCTTTCCTACACCCCCCCCTTTGTGACTTTGTTTTTATTACTATTATTTACATTTTTTATTTATTATTTTTATGTGTATGCATGTATTGCCTGCATGTATGTAAATGCACCCAAGTTGTGCAACGCTCAAGGAGGTCAGAAGGACATCAGACCCCCTGGAACTGGAGTTAGGATGGATGTTAGCTGCCATGTGGGTGCTGGGAACCGACCCTCGGTCCTCTGCAAGAGCAGCCAGTGCTCTTAATCATCTTTCCAGCCCCCATTCCTTGGGTCTTTGAAAACCCTGCCCATTGTGTCCAAGGTTCAAGCCAGCTCCCCTCAGGAAATTCTGTGACAGCTCTCAGAGGCCAGCCAAAGGGCTGACAGCCACAGCACCCCTTACCCAATGCTAGGTTGTTAAGGAGACCTAGTCTGTGTCTGTGTAGACATGACTCATGGTAGCCTACTGTGTGTTATTTAGGAGTCTTGGGTGTTCTTCTGGCTTTGCTGACCTAAGGTCACTTTTTTTTTTTTGAGACAGGGTCTCCCTGTAGCCCCAGCTGACCTGGAGTTCACTATGTAGACCAGGCTGACCTTGAATTCACAGAGATCTGCCTGCCTCTGACTCCCGAGTGCTGGGACTAAAGGCGTGTGCCACCATGCCCAGCTTTTTTATTTTTTAAAAAGACTGAAAAATTACCATGCCTGGCTTATTTTTTATTTTGTAAAAGACTTTGAAAAATTAATATTTTTTATTTTATGTGTATGAGTGTTTTGCCTACATGTATCTAAGTATACCATGTGTGTGCCTAATGCCTGCAGAGGCCAAAGAGGGTGTTGGAAACCAAATTCCAGTCCTTTGGAAGAGCAGTTAAGTACTCGTAACACTGAGCCATCTCTCCAGCCCTTAGTTTTTTTTTTTTTTAAAAGTCAATCTGCTTTTTTCTTTCTTTTATTTACTTTTTATTTATGTGTATGTATGCAAGCCTGCATGAGTTTATGTGCAGGCCAGAGGGTGTTGGCAACAGATTCCTTGGAATGGGAGCTACTGCAGTTGTGACCCACTATGTGGGTGCTGAGACCAGAGACCAGGTCCTCTGCAAGAGCAGTAAACCCTCTCAACTGCTGATGAGTCATCCTACTAACCCTCTATTTTAAAAAAAAAAAATTCATTTATTATTATTTTTTTAAAGTATTTTATTTTTATGTGTATGTGTCTATTGCTTGCATGTGAGTGCACTGTGTTGTGCAATGCCCAACAGAGGACAGAAGAGGCTGTTGGATCCCCTGGGACTGGAGTTACAGACAGCCGCCATGTGGGTACTGGGATTTGAACCCAGGTCTTCTGCAAGAACAGCCAGTGTTCTTAACTGCTGAGCCATCTCTCCAGCCCCTTCATTTATTATTTTTACATATTTTATGTGTATTAGTGCATTGCCTGCATGTGTGTCCATATTGTGCAGTGCCTGAGGAGGTCAGAAGAGGGCATCCTATCCCCTGGAACTAGAATTATGGACGGTTGTTTGCCACCATGTGGGTACTGGGAATTGAACTTAGGTCCTCTGCAAGAGCAGCCAGTGCTCTTAACTGCCGAGACAGCTCTCCAGCGTCCCCTCTCCCCGATCTTTTTTTTAAGGCAGAGTCTCCCTATATAGCCCTGGCTAGCCTAGGACTATGTAGACCAGACTGGCCTCCAATTCACAGAGATTTTCCTGCTTCTGCCTCCTGAGTGCTGAGATGAAAGGCATGTGCCACCATGCCTGGCCCATCTTATTTTTTAAACTACATTTAAAATTTTTATTTAGAGTGCCTGTGTGGGCATGCTCCTGCCATGGCACATGTGAAGATCAGAGGCTAACTTCTGGGAATTGGTTCTCTCCATCCACCATATGGGTCCTGGGGATTAAACTCAGGTTGTTAGGCTTGGCAGCAAACACCTTTATTCATGGAGCCATCTCGCTGGCCCTCCAACTTAATTTTAAGACACAGTCTCTCCCAGAATCTGGAACTCACCAATTGACTAGGCTGGCTGGCTAGGGACCCTCCTGTCTCTTCATCTCCACTGCTGGGATTACAGGTGCGTGCCACAGTGCCCGGATTTTTCATATGGGTGTTGGGGATCGAATTCAGGCCCTCATGCTTAGCGAGAAAGCACTTTTTTTTTTTTTCGTCTTTTGAGATAGGGTCTCCTTGTAGCCCCAGCTGTCCTGGAACTTACTATGTAGACCAGTCTGGCCACGAACTCACGAAGATCCTCCTGCTTCTGCCTCTGGAGTGCTGGGACTAAAGGCATGTACCACCATGCCTGGCAAAAAGCACTTTTCTACTGAGCCATCTCCTCGGCTTCTATTGATTTTCTGAGACAGGACCTCACATACCCTAGGCTGGCTTTGAACTCACTCTACAGTGGAGGATGACCTTGAACTCCTGATCCTCCTGCCACAGTCTCCCACATGATGTGATCATGAGCTAACACTCCGAGCACTCTTTTGTGGGGCTTGACTTCCCTGGACTGGGGCTATTTTCTCTTTAGCTTACTTACAGTGGAAATAGTGGTTGTGTGGTAGCTCCTTAGTCATTTCCACAGGGGTTGAAACTCATTTTCTGAGGTCCCCTGGCATATCCCCAGCCCCTTTAAGGGATGCTGCTTGTGGGGCTGAAGATATAGTTCAGTTGGTGCAGTGCTGCCTCAAAAGCATGGGTTCTGAGTTCAATCCCTAGCACCATTAAAAAAAAAAAAAAAAAAAAAAAACGGTGCTGGAGCAACAGCTCAGTCAGTGTTAGGAGTTCTGATTGCTTTTGTAGAAGACCTGAGTTCAGTTCCCAGCACCCATGTTGGGTGGCTCACAACTGCCTATAACTCTAGCTCTAGGTGGATCTGATACCTCTAGTCCCCAAGGGTGCCTGTACTCACATGGACAGATACACATGCATATACAAATGGTTTAAAATAATAAAAATAAATCTTTTAAAAAAATAAAAAGATGCAGCCAGGCATGGTGGCACACACCTTTAATCCCAGCACTTGGGAGGCAGAGGCAGGTGGATCTCTGAGTTTGAGGCCAGCCTGGTCTCCATTAGTGAACCCAGGCCAGCTGCAGCTACAGGAAGACCTTGTCTCAAAAAGACCAAAAAATACCAAAAAAACCCTAAAAACAAAAAACAACTGGGTGTGGTGGTGCACGCCTTTAATCCTAGCACTCAGGAGGCAGAGGCA